TATATACCATTAAAGTCATGAGAGTCATTCACGTCCTGCTCTTCTTCCTGTAAATTGCCACTCCGAAGCTCTGCTTTTCTAAGTTTCCCAATTAATTTCGTGTACTGATCGTATAGCTTTCCTTTAGGTTGTACTGCTCGATCAGTCCCAGTAGTCTTCTTTCTTCTCGGAATGTACTAAGTATCCTAGTTCAAATAAAATAGAATGTAGCATAAATAAAGAGAACATAAAAGTCTACTATTAAAAAATTAAAAAATAATAAAAAATATTTAAAACTAACCACAATTTCCGTAGGAAAAAGTTCTATGATTTGTTGACTAAGTCGCTTGAAATCATCCGAAGTAATTTTGTAACAAATATATATCATTAATTTTGTTTATATTTATAGTAATTAGTAATACCTAATTACAGTAACTGTGAAATAATTCGAACAGCAGTTTATTGCACCACACTCACCGTTTGTTCGGATCACTAGCTAACTCTGCTGTTACTATGTATTTTGCTAAATCTGATCTCAGAGCGTTGTCGAAGCCTTGATTTTTATACAGACCAAAATAGCTCTTGCCATCACTTGTTCGTTCAAGATAAAGCCTTACATCCTACAACAATATTTAACTTGTAATTTTTTATTACTTTAAATAATGACAATACTTAATAAGGACTTACATTTGAAACACAAGTAGGTTTTCGGTTTTCATTCAAAGAATTTTTCTTGCAACGTTTTACTTGCTGTGACTGTGATGCCTCAATCTCTATTGACAGGGGATCAGTAGGGAATTCCTCATTAACTTGTAATTCCTCATCAACTTTTTGTTCTTCAGGTATATTTGCAAAGATTAATTCTTCCAAAAGACTACCATCGGCAGCAACAACGGCATTTATTGTCTCAATAGCTCTATCTTCCAGATCTACTGCATTCTCAACCTGAAATAGAAAATAAAAGCGTGAAAGGTTAAATGAATAATTTAAAACTAACAGAGGACATATATTTTACCTTCATTGATGAAGACACTAAATTTGTCCATAAGTTCAAAAATTTAACTTGTGGGCCAAATAGAGGAATCAAAAGACGTATGTGCTCTTTCTTTAGTTTTAAAAAGCTATTCTTATCTATTTCATGTTCTAAGAGAAAGCTTACAATAAGACAAAGAATTTAAACAATAAAATAAAAATGTAAAGCATTGTGTTTCCAAATTATTAAAAATGTTTAGTAATAATATCATAGACAGACAAAGAAATACGAACAATCTATACTACAAATAATATAATATATAAAAAAACCTGCTATCGAAAAACTTCCGTATAAACTTACCTTTAAATATTGCTTCATAAGATGAAAATTCCCACTTCTTTAATATATTAATTGTCCACTCGTCTGCCATAATAATGATTGTCAAATGGCTACGTT